ACCAAAGAATCGTTGAATGGATAAATAGAAATCGCTCAACAAGAGCTTGGTGAAGAGTTAGCGTCGAATAAAAAGAAACAGCAGCCTCCACTCCTTGTATTCGCCACTAGCACCACTGCCTGTCTCGCACTAGAACCACCTCGCGGTCTTGTGTTTAGCTTCCTTGATGTAGCTATGAGTTGATTGGAGATCGCTATTGTAAGCAGCTTGGCAACTTGGAGCGTTGCACAAAAATATCCTTCAACTTCATCCAATTTCGATCATCAAGAACTAGGTGAGGGGATCCGCAATCACACGTTGCTACTAGGAATGGGTCACCATTTTTCCAACCGCGCTGCCGTTGAGGAACTGGATGAAATCAGACATGCTATCGTCGCAGCCACCGTCAATGTTAATAATACCAGAAGTATAGAATTGACAACACCGCAGTCAAAGATCAAGGACAAGACGAAGTTGGAGACAACGAGTTTTGCCCGTAGATTGCCATTGCGACCCCCCCTTTTTTCTTTTTCTTTTTTACCCACGCAGATACCGCGATCAACAACAAAAGAGGAGGATGGTCTAGACCACCAATTCCAACAACCATGAAATGGCTGATCACCACACAGCAACTGTTGCAGTACAAGAACCTCCAAAAAAAACACTGCTACATTAAAGACAATCTTGGGACATCGCCGCAAAGTAAAATCCTTCAATCTCGGGCGCCGACAAGCTTTATATGGCAATCAACATATCAAAAAAAAAGATGCAACTATTTAAGCTTTATATGGTTACTGTTGTGTAACCGAACTTCCCAGCATGGCCGCCGACACCAGAACAATACTCCGTCGACACCAACTCCAGCGGACTGATCTTGTAGGGGTAGTTCCAATCGCAGAGAAGGGGAACAAAAAATCCTTGTACTAGAATACTGATTATCGGCATAAACAAGGTGCTGCACCGCAGCGCCTAGATAGAATGAAGAAATAACAGATCAGTCTCGCAGACACATACAGAAGAAAAACCACGCTCCGGAAGAAATTTCAGCGCGATCGGAGCTCTCGACCCCACAACTCCAAAAAAAATGAGAGAGGAGACAACAAAATAAATAAATAAAATAAAATAAAATAAATGAGAGACAGGGATCCGGCGGCTGGACCCCTATCGACGAGGAGGCTGCCGCCATTCAGGAGAAGCCTCTCGCCACCTTGATCACCTTTTAAATTTTTTATTTTCTTTTTTCTTTTTTATTCCTTCTTTTCCTTTTCTTCTGTCCTTCTTTTCTTCTTCTGTCCTGTCTTCTTTCTCTTTTCCTTTCTCCTTCTTCGTTTCCCCTTTTCTTTCTTCCTTCTTCTTTCTACTTCTTTTGATCTTCTCTTCTTCTTTTTCTCCTTCTTCCTTCTACTCTTTTGCTCATTTTATTTATTTATTTACATATATATATATATATATATATATCTTTTATAACATCTATATATATATATATATATATATATCTTTTAAGAACTATTAATAAAATATAATTTTCTTCTTCTTCTTCTTTTTTTCTTCTTTTTCTTTTTTTTTTTACCATGAGGTCTACTCCCCTTGGCCATCATCTAATGTTAAATACAAAAAACCTATTTGTCATGGAAATTTTTCTTAATAAATTCTGCCCTAGATTGCATATCCACTATGAGCAATCTATTTTCTATTTTTTCCCCTAAAAAGTCTACTATTAACTCACAAAATCTCTGATTTTAAGCACAATAAATGCATTTTTTATGCTAAATACTCAAGTAAGTCAATCCAATGACTCACATATATTTTTTTTCCCTATCAATTTAAGTATGGAAAAGTAAATATAACTTGATGTCAATATTTTAAAAAGTATTTTTTAAAGGCTTGATACAAATTGAGCCCAACAATCAAACATAATGTCACTTAAAAGTTCATGATATTAATGAATATTATCTAAGAAGAATTTAATTAATTATTACTAATAATTATTTTATAGCATGGTACAAAATACATCATTTTGATAAAAACCTATTATTACAAAGATAGAATCATAAAAATTTAAAATTTAAAGATCTATAATAAAATCTATTTAAATAGATGATGAAGGCTTCTTTGAAATAGACAGGCATTAAAAAAGTATATAAGATTGATGACATGGAGTCTTTTCTTTAAAACAAGTATCACATAATTATATATATATATATATATATATATATATTAGACCACCAAAGATGTCTTAAAGTAAGTTTTAATATTTAATTGAATCCAAAGTGGTTTGTTGTTAGATAATCATGTTGTGTTTATAAGCATATAATTATATTTTTCCTTTGAAAATATATAAATACTTTTTATAATTAAAAAAATATCCTCAAACTTAAATTTATTAAAGCTATTATAAAGACCATTTTTAATATATAAAATAAGAAAATTCATTAATGTATTTGAACAAACTTCATTAAATAAAAGTTAAAATATTACCTTAATAGCCCAAAGACATAATTGCTTTGGTTGCAAAAGTTAATCAAATAAGCAAACCTACAATTTGATAGAAGTTCTTGATAAATATCTAATGATAGTTTAAAAATTCTAAAAAACATTAAACATCACATACAATTCTTCAAATTTTTCAACCTTTAATAGTTTGACATTTATAAAATTCATTTATAAGTCTTTATTTGAAATAATGTATCTCAAAAATTCTACTTCAATTGTATAAAAGTCACATTTTTTTATATTGGTGCATATTCTTATATCTCTAAGTTTGTGTAGTACAAGGCAAACATATTGTTCATATTCTTTTATATTCTTAGAATATATAAGAATGTCATTTAAATAAAATATCTAGATATTCTTGAAATGCATTGCTTATAAAATGCTAGATAGAAATTGGAGCATTTGTAAGTCCAAATGGCATCATATTATATTCAAAATAGCCATATTTAGTCCAAAATATAATCTTCTATTCATTCCCTTCTTTAATATGTATCAAATTATTGGCTCTTTACAGATCTATTTTAAAATAGATGTTAGCTTTATTTTGTTAATTAATGAGTCTCAATATTAAAAACAAAGGATAACAATTCTTGATGGATAATTTTTTAAGTCCATAATAATCTATATATATATATATATATATATTTGCAAGAATCCATCTTTTTTATTCACAAAGAAGATTGGTACACTTGACCGAGATTTTGAATTTTAGATAAAATTCTTTGTAAATTTTTCATTCATATATTTCTTATAAGCACCAAGTTCATTTTGCAATATATTATAAATTGGTCCAAATAATAGTTGGACTTCTTCTTAAAGATCAATTTCATAATCATTGGATCAGTATTTTGGCAATACATCACCATTCTTCTTTTCAAAGACATCTTGATATTCTTTATACTCTTCCAAGATGCTATTGCAATCTTAATTTGAATGAAGACTTGGTGCAAAAATTATAAATGTATTTCCAACTTTTGCTACTTATATAAATGTTTGGCTCCAACAAATAAAAAGGGAGATAATTTGTTGATACTATAACTGAATCTTAAAGTGATTTTTTGTAATTTCTAATCAATATCAAGATTATGTAATTTAAATCTAAAGCAGCCAAGTACCACTAGATTTGAATGACATTGTATGATGTTGAAGAAAATGTTAGATACTTGATCTTCTTATACCACTTTTAATAGTTTAATTTCTTCTATAATGTATTTAAATGCAAGTAATTTTCCATCAATAACTTCTATTGGAGTTGGTCAAATCTTCTTTTAAAGTATTAGTTCTTATTGTAATGCAAAATCCTTATCCATAAAACATGTTGAAGTTTGAATGTTTAAAGTAGATGAGCTGAATTTTTTTGATTTGAAGTTGTAATAATTATAAAAAGCTAAAAATAAGATATAGGATTTGGTGGTAGCACGAGATTTGTATTTGATGGCCTAGAGTTGTGCAACTGTAAGATCCCTGTTGCAACTAGACATCTTATTATCTAGCTTTTTTATATTCAAATTAATATTTCTTACTTTGAATCTTATTGATTTAATACAACAATCTTGTACTTTATAATTTGCTTATCTATAATATGAATACGAGTTTTGATGATGGCATATATACATATATATATATGTATATTCCATCACTTGAATTGATTTGTATAGATATGAATACATTTTAACTTGTACAATTAATATTTTTAAAACTTGAGGTTTTTTTATGACTTGCTTTACTCTTTTTCTACCAAATCTTTTTTCTTGGTATCTTTTAAAGATTCAATTACTAAATGCAATAGTTTAAGTATTAAATTTTTCTAATAAGCTTGCTTATTATATTTTTAATGATAAATCTTTGATAATATCTTTTAATTAAAATTAAAATTGAATAACATCTGACCATTCTTGAACCAACTTGCCGAGGTAGCAGAACGTGACATCACAAGACGAGAAAACATATATGGCAAACAGATAGCTAAAGGAATAGTAATAATGGTAGACAATTAAACCTCATTTCACGCTGTCTAAGTAGCTGTATTCCATCGGTCGATCACCGTCACAGCATTTTTTTCATTCCGTCAAATCGGACCACCTTAACACTTGCACGATCAGCGATAACAAGTACATAGTCTAGTATATAACGCATCCGTCCAACAATGATGCACAAAGTTTTACAAAGATTGCTACTGACTGGCAAGCAAGCAGCTCCAGCTACAAACGACGTTGATACAGCCGATCAGACGTACCACGTTCCTAAGTGGTCAAGCTTAATCCAACAGTTCTTCATAAAAATGAGGGCCAGTGACCGCAGAAAGCTAAAGGTAATCGACATCATCTATGATGCCAGTCTCAAAATAGAATTACCGAAACCTCCGAGCCAAAACTTCAGCACGGGCCGCAGACCGAAACGCGCGAGGCAGTCGAAATGAATGTTCAGCACATCCGAGGCATAAACAAAACCACGTGAAAAAATGAACAAACGAACATTACCTCCGGGATCCACATTACATATATCACGAATCACGTAAAACCCCAAGCTCAAGCAAGAGCCGCTCTCAAGAAAGGAGCGGTGACTGATAGATTTGAAAAAATAGTTGATTGATGGCAGTCGCAACCAAGATACAACCAGAAAGGCATTTTCACCGATTCTTAATATATTCCCTCACAACGTTAAGCCCCTCAGTCTCCTCACCGTAGTCCTTCACAACCACACACGAGCATCCTACTACCTTTCTGGCCTTCCCCTCGGAGTCAATTTTGCAGAGACCAGCCCACTCTCCGAGCTTCTTAGCAGAGGGAACGGAAATCAGGTTGACGTTGTGCTCTTGACACAGAGCCTGCACGAGCTTGGTGTAGTCAGGCTGATTGCAATCCTCTGCTAGCACACACAACTGAGCGGCGTGCTTCTCGATCGCCTTAGCGCTCTCGTGAAGCCCCTTCGCAAGCCCATCGTGCGCCAAGGCCTTCTTCAACACCATCTGTAGACCAGTGAGGATGTCCATGGGCTCTCCAGGCGCAGTCTGCTCCGCAACTGGGGCCTCGGTGGGGGCATCGGACATCACGTTATCTGCGTCGGCCATCGTCAGAACCTGCAATTACAGCAATGGTCACAAGTACGGGCACAAAGAATTACCGTAACAACCTCTCTTCTCCTCAAGGTTGGCGATTGAAAATGATAGTACTGTCGCAGAAGGAGCAATTTATCAAAGGACCAGGGACGCCAGTGCAACAGCAAGACTAGGGTTAGGGTTTGAGACTTGAACAAACTGTCGGAGAGAGATACCCAATCCTAAAATATCAAATGTATTTTTAAAAGGGGCCTACCGTAAATTGTACCTGACCAATTCATGAAAGCTGAGTGATCGTTGTTTGCATTCTGAGGAGGTCCCTTCCTGGTAACGTGGAATTCTTGCTTTATTTATATATTTTTTAAATACAAAATTTGAGGTTGGAGTACGTAATCAAATACATGTACGTGTACGTGTCTGTAAAAGATACCATAATATCACATTTTGTGTCACAATTAAATGATTCAATTTTTCTTTGTGAATGTAAAAACATACAATAAGTAAATAAGTAATTTATTTAGAAAATACATCATATTTTTCCTTTTAAAATTGATGGAAGTAATGTTTTATAGTTTAAACATATATTTAAATTGTATCATGATTTGTAATTATATTTCAAACGAATGCTTTGTAAGCAATGAAGATAATTATGATAGAGTTTGCTTATTTGATTTTACGTGGTGATCTTTAAAACAGGGTTCACTAATTCTATTCAAGCTATATTAAAGAATTCTACACAACGTTTGTTTTACTTGATCGACGAATACTTCACAGCATAATATCTCCCGCTGATATTTTGTCCAGCTATACTATCCTATAAAACTATAAAGAAGCAGCAAACTATTCCATGTATTGTCGTATTAAGGTATCAATTAGTTAGAATATAGTTAGAATTCAAGTTATCAATTGTTAGCTGTTCTTTCCCTCATTTATTTAGTTAGTAGCGTAATTATCATGAAATACATCATATTATTATACTGTCACTTGATGTAAACAGACTGAACTTGGGAAGTGCCGAGATGAGGTAGCTCCTTCAGTCTATCTGGATTAATTTTGTTTTCTCAAAAGTGATACAAATTGTTTTGCCTTGGTGCGGGGTTCAGCGTCGCAAACTGCAAGCAAATCATGTCACCAGTAACAATACCATCAACCAGAAACATGTCATTGGTCATGGTTAAAATGCATAAAATTTAGAATCGAATTATTCAGACCACTGGATGGATTTCCCGCTTCACCGCATGGTTAGATTCCTGCAATCCCATACTACGCCATCAGATATTTAAGAATATTCTAATAAATGTTGCTTCATTAGAGAAGCTGATTGACAACTAGAAAAACTTAAATACCATGCACTCTACTTTGAACCATTTGAGCAGAGAGGAAGCAAGGGATTTCTCTCAGTTACTAGTTACTTTTGTCAGGCGTGCACTTGAAGCCACCCTTTGGTGTTATATGTTTTCCAGAAAAAAAGCCGTTGCTGCCGCCAAGTTCATTCGCTGAGAGGGATGAACCCCGTCCCAGTTGGCAAACGCTGAAGGGAACAAGCATAGTCTCCTCAAGTTATTTGTGATGCGGTTGTATGGTCCGATGTGTCCGCAGGTTGTCTGATTGTTGAAATTGTAAGAGCCGGCGCAACCGCAGCATGCTCTCAAAGGGTTTGGAATACCTGAGCAGAATTTTTGAGAGGCATTACGAGCTAAAGTTACGTCGTTTCTAGGCATAAAGTGTGAGCTCAAAACCAACGAACAGGATGGTTGAATTTCAAGAATAACATCACGAATTGGCCCATATAATGAGAGAAGTTTGAACGAGTGATAGTGAAAGAAAAAATACCATAGTCCGATGGCATTCTCAACACCTTTCTGTACGCCCGATAATAATCTGCCAAATAGAACGTCACATGCTGGTGTCTGTGTCGGAGGTCATTCACGCTGTTTGCGAGCAAAGTATTATGATACTTGCTTATTCTGTTGATATTCTTCAAGCAACCATGACCATCATAATTGCTTGCTGAATCCTGATAGTAAATTGTTAGCAGAGCAGGCGTGCAACCCAAAGGTACGACGTTTACGATTAAGATGCTCTTCGCACCGAGTTTACTGAGGCGCTGCACGGTCCACGAGGGCAGAGGTTTTATTGCTTAAAAACCTGTAACGCTGCGTTCCTTTCAGCTGAGAGCTCCATGACAAGAAATTGAACGAACAATAGCGAGCAATACGGTTTACTGTCCTAATCATCTAAGAGTCGCTGTAAGAATGAAAACAATCATGACTATTTGACTGTTGATGTTCAATAATCAGTATTGTCAAACCTTCACAGCTGCGATGATTGCATCCACCACAGACGGCTAATGTCAAGCGCTTCCGATAGAGTCGTGGCTTGATTGTATAAACCAGAAAAATAGTCTTGAAAACCAGCATTCACCACGAACAGGGATGAATTGAGAGACTTCACTGTCCGCAACGACTGGTTTAAATTCGTAACTGCACCATTAATATATACCTCAGACCAGTTTTGGCCAAACACGTCACGGAAAGGAGTGCAAAAGTTTGTCTGATCAACCAGCGTTAGATAGAATCCGACAAGATGAACTGCAAGGACCTTAAGACTTACTTGATCGTGTATCCTCAAAAAATTGCAATCGAACTTTGTAGCGCGAAAGCAATGAAGCTTGAATGTTCAACGAGAACAGGCTATTGAATCCAGAATCCTGGTACCATAAGGAACTATTGCGAGCAGTTGCCCCTGCCACGGCAAAATTTGCTCCAAATGTGAAATTCCCCACAATACTTTGGAATATGGAGGAGTGCGGCTTCGCTCTCACACCAAATGCTGCAGACACGAAATAGGAAATCAGATACCACGTAATAGACGGAAACAAACATGAACTCTGATGATTCAAATTATTTTTCTCTCATGACAGTAGACATCAAAAAAAACTCATAAAAAAAAAAACTCATAACAATACAGACCCCAAATGCCATACACCTACTTTAAACTACGTGTCGTTGAGTTGTTATAATATCTATCATTGAGCAAATACATCACCTATGTATCTCATGCTAGAAATTAGCACAATATATAAAAAATAATGTGAAATATTGTGAAAGTTTGAATTGTAAATAAAAATGAAATAGATAAATCGAAATATTTATTTAATTTGTTAAAAATTGTAATTTAAGTTTAGTAATTAAAGATAGAAGTTGTAGGATTTATTAGTAAGGAATTTAGAGAGACTTTTGTGTGAAAAGTATAATATTTAGATTGCTAGGCCATCCGATGTGGGAGGATAAGGTGAGTGATAGAGGACTTCATTTCCATTGGTTGAAAGTCATGCCCAATGGGTTTTGAGATATTATCTGGGACCATACTAGAATTTGGAACTACTTTAGGGCGACCTATTTGAGGCAAGGTGAACCATTTTGAGGGGAGGCAACCCATTTGAAGTTTGAAGGTTGGATTTAAAAAGCTTCTTTTTTGGACCAGAATTTGGATGGAAAAAATATGTGATTTGGAGTTTAGATGAGGGAGATATAGTTGTTTGAAGTTATGGTGTGAATTTGGTACCTACTATTACTCTTTCAAGCATATATAGAGTTGTAGGAAAGCATTCAAGAATCTAAAAGTGGGATTAGAAAGTTGACTTGAAGAGCTACATCTTATATAAAGATATATTTTAATCTAAAATAAATAAATAAAATAAAATAAAATGTTAGAAGTTAGTATTCAAAACTGGGATTTGTAAGTAAGTTTTTTTCAATAGAGGTTTTGGTTTGGGCCATATTTGGGGTTTTTGGACAAATTTTTGACTCAAAATTTCCACATAGATGACTATGTTAAGAAGTTGTACATAAAAAATTCATAGTATTTGAACATTGATTTTTTGAGATATGATAGAATTAGTGCACAGGTGCTTAAAAATTGACATGTTTAGTATCTATTAGTAATTAGGCAATATCCAAAGACTTAGAATGAATTTATAGTTGATTTTTCGTGTCAAAGTAGTCAACAATATAAGTTTACTTGTAGAAAAATTTGAATCCAACTAGACAGTTAGATTGGAAGTTATTTAGTGATACATATACAAAAGGGATCCACATAGGAGTAGAAGTGATTTTAGGATATCTAGTCACATCTTGGTTACTATTATGCATTCTAGACTTGTGTATTTGATGTCATTGTCTTCTTAAAGACAAACTATAAACAATATTTGTGTTGAATAAACTTGCAACTTGTTTGAGCAATTAGTGGTAGCCAAAGACCCAATGCTTTCTTGAGGAAAATTCTCTCTATTACAACACAGTAAGGAGCAATAATGCGGAGCTATGGGACCATTAAGCCAAGCCTCTAATTCCTTAAACTGATATGGATATGGAGATATTGCATTTCTGTTATCTATCAAATAGTCACCTAACGTATAGGTGGATGGAAACCAGCAATCGGGAAGCCCATTCGCCATAAAAGATTCATTGAAACTACAAATCAAAACCATGCATACAATTACTCCTCTTTTCATTACCATGATCCTTACTCTCCCGATCGCCTCAAGTGATAGCTGTGCCATTTGCAAGTGCTCACGTTTTTGTCACTGCTAGCTAGATATTTCGTAAAAGATAATGAAAACCACGACGCCGGCCCCGAATTTTTAGATCGCCATTAACAAAATTCAAAAACAATTGTCAGGAGACTGACACTGAAACTTCGAACAGACGTCAATGACGCGCACGGTTAAGCAATTCAAATGAGATCCTATCGCCGAGGGTTGGAAAGTATGCCTTTCTCTGTGCCCGTAACAATCTAGAAGGACATTGTGCATAGACTGGTGCAATGACAGTGAGGAGACACCTTCGACCGCGTTCAAGAAGGCTGTGCGTTTCGGATCATATATCCTCGTCCGTTTCGACTGATTGATCGGTGCTTACATATTCTTTTTGGTTGTTGGAATTCTACTGAGTGTTGTTTAGTGATGCATTGTTCGAACTAGTAGGTTAAGTATTTCTTAGTTGATGAATTTGATAGGGTGCATGTGGAGTCTGCGACTGGAACGGTGAGGAAGAGACATGAGAAAGGGTTGTTGATGAGGTAGGGTTTCTGTAGGAGAGGAGATGAATAATTTAACCTTCTGGCGGAAGAAGCAACGGAGGGGTAAAATCCCTGCAGCGGCGGGAGCTAAGGCTGTAACCAAGGTGGGAGGTGCGCTGACCCGGGCGACTCAAGTGTCGCCAGCACTGAAGAAATTTCTAGGAGTCAAGGAATCTACGCGTCCCAAGTCCATGAAGTGCGTCTGGGATTACATTTGAGGATCAGAAGCTCCTTGCATTTTTATTTTTTAACATTGGTAGTAATATCTTGTGCATGTATTTTGCGCAAAGTGGAAATCTGCGCTGTGGTATTGCTTAGTTTTCCCAGTTTCTTATTAATTGCATCTAAAAAAAAATTGTTCGCTTCATAGGTGCCGCGTATATCGCGCATGCATGTATCAGCCTGAGTGCAAAAGTCTTGATCAGAATGGGAGTTACAATCTTTGAACCGAGGTTTTATGGAAAATTGGAACAAAAAATTTAGATGAACAATGGATGTTCGGGTGGATCAGGCTTGTACTTTTCACCTTTCCTCTCGTTTCGAAGCCTTTTTGCCTCAGGCCTATATTAGGGTTTGAGCTGTATGTGGTTCTAGTGGTATGCTATGTCAATTTTATTTCCGACTAAAAATTATAATCACTTTCTTTTGTTCAGAATCCGCTAAATAAGCAAGAGGTCTTCTACGGTGAGAAACTGAAGCCGGTACTGGGGGACAAAGACAAGGTTGGGTTCCTGGAGATTGCAATGCTTCTGAGCAAGCACTTCCCATTGGCTTCGAAGCCACCTGAAGCCCTGAAAGAACCGAAAGTGCCAAAATCACGGAAAGCTTCAAAAGTGTCAGATGCTCCATCCACATGAATTGTGCTTCTAATTTAGGTCCACCTTCTTTTACATTACATTTCTTTGGGAACTTCGAAAAATTCACGACCACTCTAACCTGATGACTGTTCTTGAATCCAAGCATAGTTAAGGGGGGCTCATTATTAATATTCCTTTAGTGTTATGTACTTTCTCTAGTCTGAGACCTGTGTTTCGCAACAGGTCCGCTGGTGTATTGTTCTTGACAAGTTTGCTTTTAAAGCTCAAATGTTCATTATCTCTACGCAGTGTTAGATTTAGGTAGGATATTGGACGCAGCAGTCATAATGGTTAGGCCGATGCATAAAGCATGGCATCCCCATTGACGAGAGAATAGTAAGTCCCTTTTCGGTCGTCATAATGACTGAGTTTACATTGGCATGTTTTAGAATGTGCGCCAAACCTCATTGAGTTGATTCTTGTCAATGACAATTTGGATTCAAACTTCAGAACATTTTAATCTTCTAATTTATCATTCTCATAATGTGGAATGGAAGCGCTGCGCCAATACGATGGCTACGTTTCAGCATTTCTATTGCATGTGAAGTGCCTCATTGACACATAGAGAGATCTAGTTCAGATACATTAACCAGCATCAAATTTCTCTTCGGAATCTTTCTTTCACATGTGCGTATCTTCTTCTTTTTTTAAATAATTTTAATTTCTGTTGCATTTACACATGGAAATTCAGATCATGTTTTCAGATATTACAGCATGAATGTAACATTTAGTTACTTCACACCCAATTACGCTGAGAGACAGTTACATGATTCTTGTCCTCAGCATTCCTGCAGTATTCTCTACTGCCATGGTCTTGAGAAAGCCCTGGAGGGTAACGATTCTCTAAATTTTCTCGTTGATTATTTGCAGTTTGGTGCTCTGTTCGAGAATAGAGGACTGAGTGCTCTGGCGTAGGTTGATTGTTATGTTTTAAAAGGATTGTCTTCGAGATCTCCTAGTCTGCAGCCCTTCAACATCTTTCATTAAACGTTGTGTGCATACCGAGTACAACAATTACAATTGAAACCTTAAGTGCTGGAGGAATGACGTGGGGACAGGTTACGTCCACAATCTATGGACTCATTCGGGACTCCAAATACATCCAAGCAATCAAGTATACCCTCTATGGACTGGAATTTTTGAAGTTATTTTCATCTCAGAATTGTTCCAGCACCTCAATACAGCCCTTAGTTTTGAGCTTCATGTAACCTCTCCTTGCAGAGTACTTGATGAGCAAATTCGTATCTTCCCTGAGAGTCAAGCAGCAACATCTCTGCTAGGTTACTGTCATTACATGAACGGTGATTATCATGCAGCAACTTCAATGTAACCCGGTTTTCGCCCTGATCCCCTGTGTCTTTCCATCTCCGTAATGCCATTTCATAATAAACGTCGGCAGTGTTCTTTTCGTTTATTCCATACCCTCAAAACCCTAATTTAGAATGGACCTCAGAAGAGTCGCAACAATTGTCAAAATGTAGCCGTAACCAAAGTATATACCCAGGTACGACCAACTTGTTCGTTTGCACCCAACTGAAGAGAAGTATCGTGTTTATCTTGCACAAGCTATGTACAAGGTATTTACTGCTGTACTTATCCGCTGATTAACTCCGGTAATGAGTTAGGGATTGTAAAACTGAAGGACAACAATTTTAGATTAAGGAAACATTAGAACGTTTAAAGAATGAGTGTCCAATGTTTTAATTGTACTTCGAAATCTTTGCTTTGATCTGAATTGTGGGCAAATACTTGTCTATAATTTTTCTGTGTGTGTGTTTGGTAATATTTCAACAAGTTATTATGTCTTATGCTGAACACTTAATATTTATGCAACCAAGTAGGAAATATTTTTACATGCAATGAGATTCAATAGAATTTGTTTTCCTAAAAGAGTTGCTGCTACTATTTACATTTTATTATGTTAAATTGAAGTTAAACATGATTGCTTAAAAGTTGCATACCTACTATAATTTTTTCTATGCATATTCTTAAATGCACACATATATAAGAACTTGAGTTGAAAGCATAATATTGACATATATAGTAATCTAAAAGTCAAAAGTTGATTGTGAAATTCTTATTAATGATCCAAGATGAATGAGGTACCAGGCAGACATGTTGAACGAAGCAGCCAAGGTTTGTGTGAAGGTGGAAGGTCACAGAGACCAGACTATCAACCTGCAAGCATGCATCCTGTTTTGCCAAGGGGATATCACTGGTAGGGAATCCCTGTCTCCTCCTCTCCTTTGAATCACACAACCTAAAGCCAATTTCAAGGTATATCTGTCTGTATACTTCAACATCAATGCTTGGGGAGCATATCTGCAACATTGTATGTTTGTATGGATGGATGAATGGATGGATGGATGGATGTGTGGTCAAACAAGCAGGTTGCACTGTGCTGCTGGAACAGATTGCTCATGGCAGTGTAGATGCACTGATTAATCTGGGGTGCTGCTTTTACAAGGTATGAAAGCTAGAAAGGAAGGGTAATGGGAACACATGCTGTTGTTGCTGCCTTCATCCTCTGCATCCCAAGATGGATGGATGAATAGATGGATGCCAATTCCACTAGCATGCACTCCTATTTTCCCCTCCAAAATTATACATTGGAGGAGAACTGAACTGTCTAGCACCATCTCTGCCTGACAATCCCCCATCAACTAGAAATTGAATGTTATCCTTGAGTTTATTTGACAATAACATGCACACTCAGTGCTTGTGTATAAATGTGTAAATGTATTTGGTTTTCAAAAGCTCCATATGTTTTTGAAGTCAAAAGAACAATCTTGTATGATTCTACTATTGAAGGTCAACCCTCCATAAAACATTGAATACTACATCTACAAACTCCATCCCTTCTCTTCCCACAAAACTTGTAAACATCCATCCTGTTGAAATTCTACCAAAGTCTCCACACAGCATCTGTAAGTCAAGGAATTGGAAGTTTAGTTTTGGAGATGAAAAGCTCCATGGGAGCCCACTATGTAGGCAAAGCACAGGGAACCACAACTCTATGTGTTCTGTTCTGTTCTCTTCTCACACAGGGAGTTCACCAAGCTTTGTTGGTGCAAGCCCTTAGTTCAAACAGTGTATGGCTTTTTCATCTTTGTAGGAGGGTAATTTTGAAGCTGCTCTTGCTAAGTTTACTGCTGCATCTAAACTTGTTGGATTCCAGGTATCCAACTTACCATTACCTTCCATATGTGTTTAGGCATCCTTGCCTTGTGACCCCAGGATTCAAAATCTGGAGTTTATATCATAGAGTATATATTTGTGTGTGTGTGTGTGTGTGTGTGAGAGAGAGAGAGAGAGAGAGAGAGTATACATACACAATTAATAACTCAAGCAATAGTCTAATATTAGAGTTTTATCCACTACATCTTCAGATGGAAAAGTAAATCCAATTTGATTCAAATTCTTTATGGAAGAATTTATTGCAATTAGTTTAACACATTGATATTGGTTTTGCAGCCAAATTTGGCCTACATGAGAACTTTGTGCATGTTCAAACTTAAGCAATTTTCTGAAGGTAAAAGAGTGCAACATTCTACTTTTGTGTTAATATAATGAAGAGTAAACTAAATTACGTTAATTTGTGATATATCTCCATTGAATTTGAACTAAATTTCAAAACAATTCCCTTTGATTGATTATTTATGTATTGGGATTATTACAGCATTGCATGCACTTACTGAAATTTTTAATCATGGATTGAAAGAATATCCAGAGCTTGGCATAGTCAGGTACTTACAAATCTCATAATAGAAAATCCAGAATAAATTTGTATCCCTTTAATTTTACAAACTGTTATTTTATATTGATTTACATTGTATCAAAGAGTAGCTAAAACTGTAAATTTAGAATTCTCCACAAATTAAAAAATAAAAAATTGTAATGATGAATAGGTGGGATACCAAAAGTTAGCATTAAATTTGAAGTTACTGATTGTGTTGAATTTTAATAAGTCATGAAATCAGAGGAATTTTTTGGATGTATTTCTAGTGACAATAATAAAGAATGAAAGTGCTCAAACTGCTGAAGTGGTTAAAACCTGGCAGTTCTGTGGAAGGTGTTGAGCCCAGAAGTGTTGGTAATAGTCATACTTTAAGAGAATCTGCTCTAATAGAAGCATTCAATCTCAAGGTGAACAAACATTGAGATTTTAGTGCTTTTACCCTTGAAAATTGGCAGTTGCTATCCCCTATCTCCAATGCAAATCATGACCAAAGTGGTAAACCTACACACATACATACAAACAGATATGCAAAAGCATGAAAACACTAGACTTTGCTTTACTTGGTTTCTTTATTAACTTTAGAGATGGTTACAAATATTTCAGCTTTTTTTTCTTTTTCTTTTTTTCTTTTTCTTTTTTTAATAATAACTTAAAAATGAAAAGAATAGGTGCCTTATATTGTGAGGGTGTGCAGGCAGCTATTCTATACATGAATGGAGATATCAATGCTGCAAAGGAGGCCTTGGATGACATGCCTCCACGAGATGAAGAGGAGCTTGATCCTGTGGGTACACTCTGCCCTCCCAATGGCTTACAAGGTCAATTATTTTGAGTTTCTACTGCCACTTTTTATTGTTTGTTTATCCATACTTCACTTGATAGACAAGGCTGCCTAATGTTTTCCATCATGTTTTTGAAACAAGAATATATATATATATATATATATATTTTTTCCCTTTGCTCATTCGGTAAAATAGTTTGATTCCCAAGTATTTATGGGTCTATATTTTATTGTAACTTAGGATGATGATTTTCCTTTTTCTTCTAGCATTAAAAGTTCTATAATTAGAATATGAAGTCTTTGAATTCATTTCTCATTTTACCACTTGAATTTTCTCCAAAATCATAAGATTAAAATAATTACATAAAATTATTACTGAAAATGAAAAGAAAAGTGAACCATTGCTGCCCCATAACATTATTTCATACAAGCATTGTGTGAAAGTGAATGAGAATTTGAAGTAAGGTCCATGACTGGGAGATTTTTGTGGTGAAGGTGACACTCCACAACCAAGCTCTTGCCAATATGGATGCAAACCCCACCATTGGATTCAGAAAACTCAATTTCCTTTTGCAGGTCCTCAGGCATTTCAGTGCTCTAGGATAGATTTTATTTGTTTATTTATATTTTTTCAAACACTAATATGAATAAAATTAAAAATTCAGTAGTTGCAAAGCATGCTGCTGTAGAATGAGCAATGGAGAGTGTGACATGGTGGCACAGAACCAGTGTTTCCCTCCAGAAGCATTTGGGAACCTGCTGTTGCTGTGTTGCAAACCATTTCATGGTTTGTATGACCTGGCAGCTGATGTGATGGCAGAAAATGCACACCTCACCTTCCAACACCTCACTCAAGTGTGTGTCCTCCTTCTCCATTGCACATCCTCCCCCTTGGAATGAATGAATACCTCTACTTTTTAGGATGTCAAACCAAATTTAACCTTTGCATCAACAGAGATGAAAACAAGTAATGCTGATGACAACACACACATACACACACACACAAATGGTGTTTGTGAACATTTCAGATAAATGTTTCAATTTTGTCATGAAGAAACCTTTGATTATTGGTTTATTTATCTGTTTCTTTCTTGCTTTCTGCTGGCTGTGTTGTGAAAGGAGTTATATGATTTTTTGGATGCAACAATATTGGTGCAAACAGATGCAGAGGTTTTGATCATTCACCAGGATTTCTCCTTCCTAAAGATCTTATCTCAATGACAATGAACTAAAACATGGAATTCAATTAAGTTGCTTAAATAACTCACAAAGATTTTTAATTGAACTGGTTGATTGATTGTTAATAACACTAGGGAAAATAATCTCAGTCTTTCTTTTCTTCTCTGTGCATTTGAATATGGATATGAAACAATTGCACTACTTTTGCTGCTCACAAGCTGCCACATCATTTCACCAGGAAGCCTTTACCAAATTCAACAAGCTTGCCTACCAGCATGGGGAAGCTCTCTGCCAGCTCAGAAAACTCATCCAAGATTCACAAACTTCCAAAGCCAAGGACTCACACATGCAAGCTGTCTCCCAAGACTATGAAGAAGCCCTGAGTGTGAGCATCATCACTTCAAATTCAAAATATGTGATTCTCTGAATTTCCCCAGTAACTTACACTAAGAGAGGAAGAAACAGAGACAAAAATAGAGAGAGCACAAGAATAATTATAGTGGGTGTGGGATGAGTGCTGGAGTTGAGCAGCAGAAGTACATGCCAGTGCTAATGGCCATGGCAAAGATATGGTGGGACAAGGAGGACTATGTGTATGTGGAACACATCCTCTTACAATCTTCTGACCTTTGCTCCAATTATCACTTGTGGAAGCTCAACCTTGCCCACACTCTCTTCATGCAGGTGAAAGGACTTGCAAAAGTAGACTTCATTATTATTATTATTATTATTATTATGTGTATATATATATATATATATATGAATTTGTGCAAATCAATTTCTTTCCCCACTGGAATAGTGCTTTTACTAAACTCAAATGTGAATTATTGATGTAATTTATATCCCTTCTTGTGAATCTTACACAAAATTATGTAAAGCTTCTCTACCACTTCAAAATATCTTTGCTGTTTGAAAGACTTTTTCTTCAGATACTACTAAGTGGTAATTGTGAATTTTTAGTTTAGTTCAGTTATATATATATATATAGTTTTTTTTTTCTTGGAGATGATGCCTTAATTTTTTTTGGAAATGTTGCAGGAAAACAAATACAAAGAAGCAATGAGTTACTATGAACCCATAGTAAAAGAAGCTGGAGTGCAAATCCTTACAGTCACTGCTATTGTCCTTGCAAATCTTTGTGTTTGTTATATTATGACCAACCAGGTATGTGTGTATAATACAACCATGTTTATTAACATTTTGACTGATAAAATTATTCTGAGGAAAATTAAAGTCCAAGTATAACATAAAATTAAAAAATTAATATGGTTGCACACTGCTGTATAGATAAACTTTTGAATGTTTCAACAAACATATTAATTTTAATCTGTGTGTACTAAAGTAAAACAAATTGTATTTAGTTTGGCTTTTGAGGCTTCATAATTTGAATTGTGTTAAAAAAAAAACCTGTGGCATTGAAAGAATGAAGATGCAGAAGATCTGATGCAAAAAATTGAGAAAGAAGAAGAACGGGCTCATTACATTGTATGTTCTGCCTCTTGACTCTAACTGTGCAAATTGGAGTGGAATCAAAACAATATGATGTCCAAGGGCCTTCACCTGCACAATTCCCACACACAAGCCCTCTCTATGTTTCTATTATCTAACATTACATGATGTTCATATGATTGTCTTCCAAATTTTATGAAACTTGGTGCTCATCTAGAGCCAACTTAAATATTTAGATTGCCATTTAATCTTTTTAGGTCAACATCTAAGAAGAGCTGTTTGATCCCATGATATTTTAGTATAAGTCATATCAACAGGAATTCTAGATTGTCTACAACCATTAATTTTTTAGAGCACATCTCACATTTCCACAGTCACAACCCACCTAGTAACTAATTTGTTCAAGGTCTTCTTCTCTCTTCAAATACTATTTCAATCAATCTACAACATAGAGGATCTTCTTTCATTCTTCTTCTTCAGCATCTTCTATGTGTTGATAATTCATTGATACTTGGGTTCAAATGTGGATGGTGGTTTTGATGACCAAATGCCTACAGGATTCATCAAAACAGAACTTGCATTTGTGCATAGTGAACTTGGTGATAGGGACATTGTATTGTGTGAAGCAAAACTTTGAGTATGGGATAGGGCGCATCATTAAGAGTTTGAAGCCTTGTGCTGAGAAGCTGGATGCTGATACATGGTTCTATGCCAAGCGTTGCTTCCTTGCCCTCACAGACAACCTTGCCAAGCACATGATTGTTGTACAATTCTTTTCTACCTCATTTTACCTTTGTATTTTGCCAAAGTGTAATGTTTAATGTTGAGTTTATATATATATGTATATATATATATATATATATATATTAAAATTATAAATTTACAAGCAAATGGTCACAAAATGTACAACCTTAACAAGGAGAAATTGATTGTGTGTTAACTTGATATTTAGAAGAATTTGAAAGTGTCTTATATCTTATTACAAAGCTGTTGAATTAATAGACATTGTGTCATGATTTTCTGGGTAGAGTAATATATTTTTCAATACACAAGGTAGTAAAATGTAAATTAGACTGAAGGTTTGCCACTTATCAAGATTTTCACTTCTGCAATTAATTTTACAATTGATTGATTTAAGAATAGGATCTATTATTTCTTTATAAGAAATGGAATTTTTGAATTATTTCATAATATTAAAAAGGAAGGTAGGGAATAAGGGGAGGAAGGAGAGAGGATTTGTGATGTGTACATGGAGTGGGAGATGACTTCAGATAGTTTAATTGTTATTGTGGCAGTTGAAAGACACAACACAAGTAGACATGATGGACTTTTTGGAGCAGGCAGCAATGGTGGGGAAGGGGATCTCCACACAGGCTTCCAACATGATGTATCACAGCTGCACCAGTCCTCCTACTGCTACTACTACTACTACCACAACAACTACTACCACTCTTCCTGGTGGTGGTGGTGTTGTAGCAGTTGGTCACACTGTCACTGCCCTAGACTGCTCTCCTTGTGTTGCACAAGAGGCCTGTCTCTTGCAGTGCATGCTCCTCCAGCTCCAATCTTAACACAAGCCTCCTGGCAACTTCAAACCTGCTCTTCTATTCCAAATCAACAGAAGAAAATATAAAAAGAGTAAAACAAACTTCCATCAGTTACTCGTGAAACCTCACTTCAACACTTACTTCTTAACACTGCAGGATTTTGGTCATCATCCTCACATGCAATGAAGTTTTGACAAACTTGTCTCTCTTGCAACTATTGTGTATGCTGAATTAGACTTCCAATGGCTACAGTTTTTGTTTTTTTTTGTTTTGTTTTGTTTTGTTTTGTTTTTTTTTTTTAATTTCCTTTTTTCTTTTTTCTTTATCATTTTTCAGATAAATGATTTAAAATATTCAGGTGACTGTGGATTTAAGTGATGTGGTATATTTCTTTTGTATGAAAAAATGATAAATGAATATGATCCTAGTAATGCCTTGTTGTGGATTCCATGGGTTCTGCAACAATTTGGCCAGTTTACTTGTAATTGACCTGTTAAATATAAGAACAAAAATCGTCATTCATTGCTTGTTAATTTTTAATATACATCAAATATTTGATAAATCTTAGTATTACAGATGGTTTCAAAAGAATACTTGATGTTGATTAAAATTTTATTAGTTATGCACCACCTACCACTATTTGTGCAGCTGTGTTGTTTTCCACAATTATTGTTGATAACATGTTTTGAATATCATTTTTAAAATTTAGATTTTCACTACTTACTTAAAATTAGATGGTATCTAAAGTCATAAATTATTCAAAAATATTTATATCAAAGCACTTATAAATTTTTGCACATTTAAGAAAAAATGGATGAGATTGAAGACTCAAATAAAAAAATCATAAGCATACAGTATAGTGGTTTTATTTTAACTTATAGCATATAAAGCTTATAAAATTACCAATAAATTTTATAATAGCATATATGTGCAATAGATTTATTTTGATGAATAAATGAGAAGTCTCAAAAATTTAAAATGATAAAAATAACTTAATTCTTGATAGTACGTATTAAATTAAGATAATATATTTTTTTTAAGTTTTAAAACTTAAGTCAGATAATCAACTTTTAACTTTTATTTTTAAAATTTAATAAAATACATAAATTATATCTGAAATTCTTAGCATTGTGTACATAATTATACATAATATATTCTTTATATCTTTTTTTTACTAGTAAATACTTTAATATTGATGAATTGAAAAGTTATGTGTATATATATATATATATATATTATTTTTAACATATTTTATATTTTTAAATTTTTTTTATTAAGTTTGAACTAAGCAAGACATTTATACTTGTTTGTAGGTATATTGATTAAATATTATTATAAAATAACTCAATCTACATAAATCTTTAGTACAATTTCTAATTTGATAATAAAAATTTAGTTTCAATTTGTAGATGCCTCCATGTTAGTGCTTTAAAATTTGTTAAAATTTATAATCTGGTTCTAAAACTTTCTTCTAACAACTTCATCTTAAAATTACATCTTAAAAAATAAAAATAACAAAAAATTAAAGAATATATATATATATATATATATAAAGAATTATAATTATAAAAATATTCAATATATATTTTATAATGATCTATTATTTCTTAAGAATTATTTGCAAAGTCAATGTTATTTTGGAATTACTTTGGATATTGAGACTTATAAAGACCTTGTACTTTGGAGAATTATGTAATATTGTTTAATAATCTATAAATAATTTTTTTTGATTAGAAATTGTTTTAAATATGTATTGTAAGTTTGAGCTTGATCTATCATCTTTTTTGAAGGTTATTAGAATTCAAACATAGTGGGATCTTAGAAATTGGAGTTTAGAGGATTAGTGAGTATTTTAAAGATTTATAGCAATCTACTAATTGTAGTGAATTAAATATTGTACAGTGGTAATTGATTTAATTTGAAACAACTTTGCAAAATTTAAAACAATTGAACAATGCAATTTAGAGATATTGGTAGTAAGAGATTAGTATCAAGGTTAGAGAAAGAGACTAGCTAGCACCCAAGTAGATCTTACTTGGTGAATTCGATCTTCTTTCAATGAATTGTGTTTATTGTTAATTTAGTAATTAAGAAGTATACAAATTTTGAGTTAAAATTTACAATCAGATTATTGATTACTGAGGTTTCAATTTGCTATAGAACATGGTTAAGATTTATTTAAGATTTTTTTAGATTTTTTTAGGATTTATTTAGGATTTGTTAGAAATTTCATTATAATTTTATTATAGTTTTTTTAGGATTTTTTAAGGATTTGATTAGAGTTTGGTTAAGGATTTATGATTTGATTGGAATTTGTTTAGGATTTGACTTAAGATTTAGGATTTGATTGGAATTTGTTTAGGATTTGATTTAAGGTTTAGGATTTGATTAGAATTTCACTAGGATTTGATTAGGATTTAATTAGAATTTATTTAGGATTATATTATGATTTAGTAAAGATTCATTTAAAGTTTCTATTTTTAATATTTCTTTGATATTTCTTTGATATTTCTTTAAGATTTTGTTTTTATATATATATATTTTAAATATTAATTTATGATATCTTTATGTTTTGTTTATAATTTCTTTAAGACTTTTTATGGATTTGATTAAAATTTAATTAGCATTTTTAAGGTTTAAATGGAGTTTGTTTATGATTCTATTAGAGTTGTAAAAGCTTTGATGTTGCAATTTCCATTTTAGCTTCTACAACCAAGTACCTAAGACATTCTCAAGCAAAATTTGGAGAATAAAATATTAGGAGTAGATTGAGAGACTTAGAGTATTGCTACTAAATCTAAAGGCATAGCTTGAGCTTAGGCCATAAATGTAGACTACGTAAAGATTGGATAATCATTGCATTGAGTAATTGTGAACTAATCCAAAAAATATGATGATATTGAATACAATCAAAGTTAGGATAGCATGGCACTAGATTGGAGGCCATATATTTTTGAAGTGTGTGCAATAAACAAAGTTTATTAATGAATTGATGTACATTTTACTTGATCTAGATACTTTACAAAGCTTTGTTACATGCTTGCTTCTTAGCCCAATAACTCAAGTAACACTTTCTTATTTTAATGAATATTTAATATTTATTTAAATCATTGAATGAAATTAAATATCCAGTTTTATTTTTATTTTGAAAAAAAGCTTCTTTAAGAAAAGAAAAAAAAATGAAAAAAGAAGAATATGATTGTATTTATATATTTCTAGACTTTGCATTGACTCATGCTAAAATATTGAATTTAGACTCTACACTTTGACATAAGTGAGTGAGTTCATTATCATGTGTATGTAATGCACAAAATTTTATACAACATTGAAAATCTTTGAAACCCACATTATTGGCTATTAAAAACTGTTTCCCCTTGAACTGCAATGCTTGGTCATAAATGCATCGCAAGGGAAGTTTTTAGATAGTGCATGGGCAAAAGTCAAGAAATTGGGTGCTTGGTCTTTAAGATCACTGAGAATCATAGTCACCCACAAAATTTCTCTCTGAGCTTTGAGGTGGGGCTAGGGGTATAGTCCACACTAGTGCAACTGTTCTGCACTGAAAGTGAGTCCCAGTTTGACAGAATGAAGCTGGAAGATGCCAAAGCACCAAGTCGGTGGGTTTATCAGTATCAAGCAACAGAATGGGTATCAGAATAGTCCTGATAAAGCTGGCATGACACCACAGAGCTCCCATGTGTCCACCACATGGATGTTTCAGTGAGGAATATTGTCCTCAGGGAATAAACAATGTAGCGGGCATCTAGGCTATATTGCCACGATGCCATTGTGGTGCAAAGAATCAAGGACACCATTTGAACAGCAAGTCTGCATGTTGACTATTGAGCCTGGCACTTCTGTTGGTGAGCCCGCGGCTCCACCACAATATTCATCACCAAGCAATTCCTTTGATTTTGTGCTATGTTGAGGAGAGAAATAAGAGCATGAATTTTTCTCAGGTTTGTGGATAACTCATTTTGAAATGAGAAGTGTGTACATTTCAACCAATCCAAGGATTCAAAAATTCTGGCCTCTCACCTTGTCCCCTAAGTACATTGACTAGGATCAATAGTGGTCATCTGTTATTATGTAAGTTGGATCTGCCACCGAAATGCCACTCTTGACCTAATACAATTAACACAAAAAAGGAGAATCATGTGTTTCATTAAGGTAAGCCTTTTATTGTGTGACTGTCAAGTTGTTTTCCAGATCTTTTGGATAATTTAAATATTTTTCTACTTTGAATTAGTTGATGTTAGTTTTAGAAAATCCAAATCATAATAAGAATAAAAGAAGAAAAAAAGAAAAATTTAAAAATTATTAAAATAAATAAGTAAGTAAATAAGTAAGTAAATAAATAAAAGTGAAAGTAGAATATATTATCTTCTAGATAATATCATCTTAAGTAAATTGCTAATGGTCAAAGGATTGGCTTGTGGTATGTAGTAAAGCCAAGAAATAAGGTAGATGAATAGGCAAAAGATCTTAAAAATATAAAAAATATACTAAAGACATATCTTCATAGTGGATAAGATATCCATTGATGGTTTAGATAGAAGCTTGAATGAATGTATTTATCAAAGGATGGAAGTTTTCCATAAAGACAAAAACCACTATCTATAAATAATAAGTATTAGAAGTGAAATTTATCTTATTCCATACTCTCTTTGTATGGAACCTTGCTGATGCTATATGTTATGACTTTAAAGTTTTCTTGCTTCAATAAATTATTGTAATTCATTGAATTGACTTACTTAAATATTTAGTATCAAAAAAATACTCATGATACTTAAAATCACAAATTTTGTGAGTAAATAATAGAATTTTTGTGAGAAATAAAAAATAAATGGCTAATAGTGGATATATAGTCTAGAATAGAATTTATTAAGCAAACTTTTCATGTTGGAGATGTTTTTATATCTAATATTAGATGATGGCCTAAAAAAATAGTTTTCATTGCCAAAAGTAAAAAATAAATTCTATTTTATTAATAATTCTTAAAACATATATATATATATATATATATATATATATATATATATAATAAAAAAATAAAAATACAAAGATCAAAAGAAGTAAAAAGAAAGAAAAAAAAAAAAAAAAGAAGAAGAAGAAAAAAAAACTTACATGCTTAAAATTCTTGAAATGAGGATGAGATTCTAAATTTTTGAGAAGAGGTTATGAAGATTTGACAAAGTGTACTTTGGACCTTATTTTTATTAGGGACTGTTGTTCTCGTTGCATTCAAGCTTCAATAGACCAAAGCAATTGAACTAATAGAGGTGGGTTTGAACATGGAGAAAGATTGGTTATATGAATTGGGTCTGTTAGTGTCACAATTGACTGTATTTTGGCTATCTGAAATCAAGTATCAAACTATAAAACAGCGAAGCTTACTACTTTTGTCTTAATTCAATCCATAATCCATTCTA